CTCACCAACCCTCACCAACACCTCACCAGCACCTCACCAACCCTCACCAACACCTCACCAACCCTCACCAGCACCTCACCAGCACCTCACCAACCCTCACCAGCACCTCACCAACCCTCACCAACCCTCACCAGCACCTCACCAACCCTCACCAGCACCTCACCAACCCTCACCAACCCTCACCAGCACCTCACCAGCACCTCACCAGCACCTCACCAACCCTCACCAGCACCTCACCAACCCTCACCAGCACCTCACCAGCACCTCACCAACCCTCACCAACCCTCACCAACCCTCACCAACCCTCACCAACACTCACCAACCCTCACCAACACCTCACCAACCCTCACCAGCACCTCACCAGCACCTCACCAACCCTCACCAGCACCTCACCAACCCTCACCAACCCTCACCAACCCTCACCAACACCTCACCAACCCTCACCAGCACCTCACCAGCACCTCACCAACCCTCACCAGCACCTCACCAACCCTCACCAACACCTCACCAACCCTCACCAACCCTCACCAACACCTCACCAACCCTCACCAACCCTCACCAACCCTCACCAACCCTCACCAGCACCTCACCAGCACCTCACCAGCACCTCACCAGCACCTCACCAACACCTCACCAACCCTCACCAACCCTCACCAGCACCTCACCAACCCTCACCAGCACCTCACCAACCCTCACCAACCCTCACCAACCCTCACCAGCACCTCACCAACACCTCACCAACACCTCACCAACCCCTCACCAACACCTCACCAGCACCTCACCAACCCTCACCAACACCTCACCAGCACCTCACCAGCACCTCACCAACCCTCACCAGCACCTCACCAACACCTCACCAACACCTCACCAACCCTCACCAGCACCTCACCAACCCTCACCAACACCTCACCAGCACCTCACCAACACCTCACCAGCACCTCACCAACACCTCACCAGCACCTCACCAACACCTCACCAACCCTCACCAGCACCTCACCAACACCTCACCAGCACCTCACCAACCCTCACCAACCCTCACCAACCCTCACCAACCCTCACCAGCACCTCACCAGCACCTCACCAGCACCTCACCAGCACCTCACCAACACCTCACCAACCCTCACCAACCCTCACCAGCACCTCACCAACACCTCACCAGCACCTCACCAACACCTCACCAGCACCTCACCAGCACCTCACCAGCACCTCACCAACCCTCACCAGCACCTCACCAGCACCTCACCAACACCTCACCAGCACCTCACCAGCACCTCACCAACACCTCACCAACCCTCACCAGCACCTCACCAACACCTCACCAGCACCTCACCAACACCTCACCAGCACCTCACCAACACCTCACCAACACCTCACCAACCCTCACCAGCACCTCACCAACACCTCACCAACCCTCACCAGCACTCACCAACCCTCACCAACCCTCACCAACACCTCACCAGCACCTCACCAGCACCTCACCAACCCTCACCAGCACCTCACCAACCCTCACCAACCCTCACCAGCACCTCACCAGCACCTCACCAACCCTCACCAACACCTCACCAACACCTCACCAGCACCTCACCAACCCTCACCAGCACCTCACCAACCCTCACCAGCACCTCACCAACCCTCACCAGCACCTCACCAGCACCTCACCAACCCTCACCAACACCTCACCAACCCTCACCAACCCTCACCAGCACCTCACCAACACCTCACCAGCACCTCACCAACCCTCACCAGCACCTCACCAACCCTCACCAACACTCACCAACCCTCACCAACACCTCACCAGCACCTCACCAACCCTCACCAGCACCTCACCAACCCTCACCAGCACCTCACCAACACCTCACCAACCCTCACCAGCACCTCACCAACCCTCACCAGCACCTCACCAACACCTCACCAACCCTCACCAACACTCACCAACCCTCACCAACACCTCACCAGCACCTCACCAACCCTCACCAGCACCTCACCAACCCTCACCAGCACCTCACCAACCCTCACCAGCACCTCACCAGCACCTCACCAACCCTCACCAGCACCTCACCAACCCTCACCAGCACTCACCACCCCGCTAGGTCTGGTGCTACGCCCCCATTCAGCGGGCTGCACTTAGTTGCCTGTGACTGTGGTTGTGGTTGTGGTTGCCTGTGACTGTGGTTGCCTGTGGTTGCCTGTGACTGTAGTTGCCTGTGACTGTGGTTGCCTGTGACTGTGGTTGTGTGTGACTGTGGTTGCCTGTGACTGTGGTTGCCTGTGGTTGTGGTTGTGTGTGACTGTGGTTGTGGTTGCCTGTGACTGTGGTTGCCTGTGACTGTGGTTGCCTGTGACTGTGGTTGCCTGTGGTTGTGGTTGTGTGTGACTGTGGTTGTGGTTGCCTGTGACTGTGGTTGCCTGTGACTGTGGTTGTGGTTGCCTGTGACTGTGGTTGCCTGTGACTGTGGTTGCCTGTGACTGTGGTTGCCTGTGACTGTGGTTGCCTGTGACTGTGGTTGCCTGTGACTGTGGTTGCCTGTGACTGTGGTTGCCTGTGACTGTGGTTGCGTGTGACTGTGGTTGCCTGTGACTGTGGTTGCCTGTGACTGTGGTTGCCTGTGACTGTGGTTTCCTGTGACTGTGGTTGCGTGTGACTGTAGTTGCCTGTGACTGGTTGCGTGTGACTGTGGTTGCCTGTGACTGTGGTTGCCTGTGACTGTGGTTGCCTGTGACTGTGGTTGCCTGTGACTGTGGTTGTGGTTGTGGTTGCCTGTGACTGTGGTTGCCTGTGACTGTGGTTGCCTGTGGTTGCCTGTGACTGTGGTTGCCTGTGTCTGTGGTTGCCTGTGACTGGTTGCCTGTGACTGTGGTTGCCTTTGACTGTAGTTGCCTGTGACTGTGGTTGCGTGTGACTGTAGTTACCTGTGACTGTGGTTGCGTGTGACTGTGGTTGCCTGTGACTGTGGTTGCCTGTGACTGTGGTTGCCTGTGACTGTGGTTTCCTGTGACTGTGGTTGTGTGTGACTGTAGTTGCCTGTGACTGTGGTTGCGTGTGACTGTGGTTGCCTGTGACTGTGGTTGCCTGTGACTGTGGTTGCCTGTGACT